GACGCTGGAGAAGGAAGAACTGCTCTAGTCATTCCGTCCCCCTCCCTTCTCCCCATTTACGGCTACATGCCCTGTGTACGTCAGAAAATAAATAATCCAGTCATATGATCTCATGGAGACTCTTCCCAGCTGTGAATTTATTTTCCTCCTCTGTTTTTTTTTTTTTAAGTTTCACCTTCTATTATTTGGCTCCTCCTCTTAACCAATATTGTCTCTTTAGTAAGTCAGCTATTTCTGATTAACCTTTCTAGTGTCTCCTACATCTCTCCCTGTTTTTGCTGCTTCTTTTCCACTTTATTACTATATTATTTAAAGTCTACTTCACATACTTGATTTCCCCCTACCTCTAGTCTTTTTCTATCAATCAATTCTGCATGCTAACATCAAGATTAATATTCTTAAAACACTTTTCATCATGTCATTCTCCAACCTAAAAACCTTCAGTTGGTTTTCCACTGTCTAGGAAATAAAATGTCAGACTTTGCAATCTTACATTTAAGGCTTCCACCATCTGACCCAAACCTAGCTTTCCATTTTATCTCCTGTATTATTCCAAATGCACTTGAAGGTCTTCACTTCATTGTCACCGAATATATCTTGTCATTTCCTACCTCTAGGCTTTTTATTACACACATCATCCTTTGTACTGCCTGCCTTCCCTTCTCCAACCTTTACTGAGTCCTCCTCTTAATAAAACCACATAATATCTGAATTACTGCTCTGGATTACAGGTTAACACTTTACTAACTTATATTTTGTCTTAACAAATGTACACACATACACATTTAAACCCACAGTGCCTGGCACAATCCAACCAGAAAACAGGACATTTGTTAAGCTAAAGTTTTCTAAAAAATTTTGGAATTTCCAGATAGAAGGACTCCAGAATCTATGATGGGCAGAAAATGTTATCAGAAGTTGGCCACTGGAAAAACTGATGCTCTGACTCAAAACTAGAATGAGCTTAAAAAGGACAGTAGAAGACTGCATGTCAAAAGTTGTGTATGAATATTCTAAAAGAAGGGTATGAGATGGTCCTTGCCAAAACCACTAATGACCTCTGATTTCCTAAATTCGTCATTCTAAACCCTGCTGAATTTTTCATTATGACAACTTTAGTAGACTATTCACAAAGATGACTGCAATAATTCTCATTCATTCCACAGGACCCTCTGCAATGCAACTTTGCTATTCTCATCATAAGGTGAAATCAATTTCCACATCCTTTGAATCTGGACTGGCCTTGTGACATACAGTAACTAAGAATAACCACTTTTAAGTTCAGTGGCATTAAGTACATTCACACTATTGCGCTACCAGCATGACACTCCATCCCTGGGACTTTTCTCATCTTCCAAAACTGAAGTTCTACACTCAAAAAACAATAACTCCCTACTTCCCCTTTCCTCTGTACCTGGCAACCACCAGTTTATTTCTATGAATTAGATAAGACTACTCTAGATACTGCATATAAGTGGAATCACACAGAATCCTTTTGTGTGACTGGCTATCTCACTTAGCTTATTATCTTCACAGTTCATAGATCCATGTTATAGTTTGTGTCAAAATTTCCTTCCTTTTCAGGCTGAATTATATTTCATTGTATGCATATATCACATTTTGTCTATCTGCTCATCTATCAATTGACACTTGGGTTGCTTCCATTTTTTGGCAATTGTGAATAACACTGCTATTAACGTGGATATACAAATATCTATTCAGGTCTTTGCTTTTATTCATTTCTTTTGGGTATATAGCCTGAAATGGAATTGCTGGATCACATGGTAATTTATGTTCAATTTTTTTGAGAAATGCCGTACTGTTATCCACAGCAGTACCAATCTACATTCACACATGTAGTGTACAAGGAAGGGTTCCTTCCAAATTCTCCTCATCCTCACCAACACTTACTTTCTGTGTGTGTGTGTGTTTATATAATGGGTGTGAAATAGTATCTCATGGTTTGGACCTGTATTTCCTTAATAATTAAGGAAATCATTATCTGATGATAACAAACAATTCTTTTCATTTGTTTACTGGCCATTTGTACATCTTCTTTGGAGAAATATTTATTGGAGTACTTTGACTATTTGTAAACCCGGTTGCTTAGTTTTTCGTTGTTGAGTTATAGTCATTTAGCTGTATCCTGGGTGCTAACCCCGTATCAGATATGACTTACATGCTTTCTCCCATTCTGTGAGCTGACGCTTGTCTGCTGATAGTGTACTTTGATGCACAGAAGTTTTAGTTCAGTTTATCTGTTTTTGTGTTGCTGTTGCCTCTGCTTTTGGTGTCATATCTAAGAAACCACTGCCAAATCCAAAGTCATACAGCTTTCCCCCTGATTTTCCTGAGGTTTTCAGATACACTTCTTATACTTATTTAGATCCTTGATTCATTTCAAGTTAATTACTGTATATTATGTAAGGAAAAGGCCCAAATTCATTCTTTTGCTGTGGCTACTCAGTTTTTCCAGCATTAATTCCTGACAAAGCTATCCTTTCCTCATTGAATGGTCTTAGTACCCTTGTTGAAAAATCATTTGACTGTATATGTGATGGTTTATTTCCGGGCTTTCTATTCATTCCATCAGTCTCTATGTCTGTCTGTTTTGATTACGGTAGCTTTGTAGCAGTTCTGAAATGAGGATGAGAACTCCAACTTTGTTTCTCTTGTTCAAGGTTGTTTAGACTATTCGAGTCCCTTGAAATTCCACATGAATTTTACATGGATTTTTCTACTGCTGTAAAAAAACAACATTGGGATTTTAATAGAGATTATATTGAATCTGTAGGTTGCTTTGGACAATGCTGACATCTTAACCACATTAAGTCTTCCAATCCATGAATATGAGATGTACCATGTACTGGAGACTTCTTTAATTTCTTTCAGCAGTACACTGTAGTTTTCAGTGTACAGGTCTTTCATCTCCTTGGTTAAGATTATTTCTAAGTACTCATTTTTTTTGATGATATTGAATTCTAAACTTAGGACTCAAAAGACCTTGCAACTTCTTCTATCACCTTCTTGGAACACTGCTACCACAACATAAAACTTCCAGGCTTGCATGATAGGGTGATACAGCCTAGACAACTCTTAGCAACTGCCAGACATGAGTGATGTTAGAGAGCACTTAGCTCCAGTCAAGCTGCTAGATGATTACAGCCACGTGAGAGACTCCAGGGGAGTCTAGCAGAAGAACCACTCAGCTGAACCTAGGCAAACTGCTTACCCACAAAATTAAAAGCAAGTAAAATAGTTATTTTAAGCTACTAAATTTTAGGGCTGGCAGCAAAGACTAACTGAACAGAACTAAATCATTTTATTTGCTATTTCTTAACTATGATAATTTATTCATTACTTTGTACTCATTTCAAACTGTTTTCCAGAGGCTGTTAAGATTTATTCCAAGTGAGTTAAGACAGAGTTCTTTGATGCTAAGTACTCTACATTATTCATTGTGTTCATGAATGATTTAAAGCTTGAGGGGCAGAATTCTAAATAATTTATATATGTTTTAAAAGGAGATAGCATAAAATTAAATCACATTAGAAGTATAGAAATACAGATTTCTAATTTACAACCTCAAAATTGAAAAAACAGTAAGGAGATACTATAATGAGTGTATTTCAGACTAACCTGTGCTATTGCTAATAGTTGCTAGCAATTAGTGCTAAATTTACTGAGGAGAGATTTTGAAAATTTATTATCTGATTATTATAAAACTTAAATAATCACAATATTTAGGAGAAAAGTATTTAACATTAAAAATGTTTATAATCCCAAAGCATTTAGAGGCTTGGTGTCTAAGCAAAATGGCTTGATATTACTTAAAATTTTTGAAGATACACATATATCTAAAATTTTATGTTTTATAACAAACATGTATTCATTAACAAATATAGCTATAGTTATTTTAAGTGAGAATCTTACAGAGCAATAGGCAAAAATAAATGCTATTTATGTGTGTGCAAGCTCAGTGTGTCCAACTCTTTGTAACCCCATGGACTGTAGCCCACCAGGCTCCTCTGTTCATGGGATTCTCCAGGCAAGAATACTGGAGTGGTCTGCCATTTCCTTCTCCAAAATGCAATTTGTAATACACATTAAAACAAAAACTTCACTTAATAAAAATTTCTACCCCATTAAAGAACTCACTTTAAAAATTTACTCTCTCACATTATAGAAAGAGTTGTTTTAGAATTATTTATCTAGTATTACATGTGTTCTTTAAAAGAAATAATTAATAAGGAGAAAATGTAACAGGAGGCAATAGACAAGTTTTTTATGTGGCTCAGATGGTAAAAGAATCTGCCTGCAGTGCAGGAGACCTGGGTTTGATCCCTGAGTTGGGAAGATTCCCTGGAGAAGGGAAAGGCTACCCATTCCAGTGTCCTGGCCTAGAGAATTCCATGGACAGAGGAGCCTGGCAGGCTACAGTCCACGGGGTAAAAAAAGAGATGGACACAACCGAGTGACTTTCACTACTCACTTATATTTCTAACTAGACATAGAATGGGACTATTTTTTCTGACAAATCAAGAGGAATTAACACTTAAGTAGAAACTATTTGAATTAAACCTTCAAAGCTGAGGCAAATTCCTCAATGTCTATGTCATAAACACATTTCCAACATTTGTTTAGGAATTTGAATTTACTGTCAGAAATATCTCATATTTGCATCATTAAAAACATCTTTTGAAACAGTTACCATTTTTGTTTTAGAGTCCTAAATATTACTTTAAATTTCGGCTATAATTTATTTAACCACGAGCAATTACTTACACTTCTCTGAAACTACATTTCAACAAACAAACTACAATTTCACTGCTCCTCTACCCATATATGACAACACGCTGAATATTAAAATATAGTCCATAATTTTAATCATACACAAGTGCATACACACACACATACACACACACACACAACCTATTTCTTGCTAGGATGATAAAACAAAGAAAGAGAAAAGAAATATGGAAGAAGTAAAATGTACTTACGAAGTCAAAATCTCCATCCTGAGGAACTTTCCAGTTATCAGGAAAAACATTTTTGGACATAGGGAAGGGTTCATGTATATTCTGATGACAGTTTTCATGACTCTTATTCTTGAAGTCCTGTTTATCAAAGTAATCCATGAAAGACGGCCTTTGTACTTGTGGCGAAGTTGCATTTCCTTAGGTAAATGAAGAACACAAGGAGGTATAAGTTCTCACATTTACTAAGAGAACTATAAGTTTTATTAAAACATGATTTTTAGTACTATAATAAATTTTCACTAGTCAGATTTAAGAACAGCATAGTTAATGAAGAAAATACATTAAGTAAAATAAGAATGAAGAAACAAAAATATCTAAGGCAAATAGATTGCCTTCACCTAATGATAAGACAGATCTGTAATATTCTTAGATTGTAGAAACATCTCAGAATTTTGGCAGAATATCATAATTTTATTAAAAATTATTTCAAATACATTTGAAATCTGTTAAAGAAAGTAAACATTTTAAACCTCAATCTTTGTTCATAAAACATTCAAGCCTACATTGTTATTGTCCCTGTGTACCAGCATCAGCTGTAAGAAGTTACAGCTGATAAGACTTGCCCAGCTTCCTCCTGTGTCTCTTTGACTACTTCCTCACAGTCTTTCTAGCTGATTCTACCTCCTCCTAGAACGTCCCTTGTTTCACCTGTCATATTTTTACCTGTGACCCCTAAAGCTATTTCTCCAGCCCAGACCTTGCTCCTAGGTTCTCTGACTTTCCAACAGCTCAATTCCTGGACCTGCAGTGAATTAGGTACCTTGAATTTACCAGTTCTAAAGCTAGATCTTCTCCTTCAAGCCTGCTGCTTCTCCAGATGCTCTTTGTCTGCCAAAGTTAACATTATTTACTTAATCCTCAAAGTGATCAAGTTGAGAATGAACCCAGACTCTCTTTTCCCATCAAACCAAACTGCTCATCAGGTTGTTTAATGCTACTGCACTGTCCACCGCTGCTACTGTCTCAGTTTAGCTTCTAATCTTTTCTTGCCGAGGCCACCGTAGCATCCTCCAAACTGGTGTCCGTGCTTTACCTCGGTTTTGATTTTAGTCATACGGATGATGTAGTGACCTTTCTAAACACAAATCAAATCATGTCTTTCTTCTGTTTAGGATCTTTCAGTGACTCCTCATTTCCTATACTGAATGATTAAAGTAGAAAGTAAACATAGAATAACTAGACTTTCCCAGTGATTTTCAAACTTGATTCCCTAAAGCCCCAGTGTCCCCAAAAAAGATCCTAAGTATCCATGTATCTGTTTGGCCGAGTTCCCTTCGCTGCTCACCTGAAACTAGCACAACACTGTTAATCTGCTATATACCTCAATACAAAAATTAAAAAGCTAAAAAAAAACTAAGTGATTGCCACAAAAATACTTGCCTATGCAGTCCTCCACATAGTAAATTACCTATCATCTAAAAAATTTCTTGTGACAGGACGTACACTTCTCCACAAGGAAGCCTGTTGGGCTATTCTAAGTTGCAGAAAGTCTTTTTAAAAATGTGAACTTGAAGTATGTCTTTTTGCAATTTATACTCATGTTCCAAATAAATTTCTCTTTCATACACCAGTCCTTCAGATATCAGAAGACAGAAAATGGCTCCATTTTGGCTATCTTTTTCAGGTGAAACATCGCCAGTTCCTTTCACATGACGTTTTTGAGACGCATCATCATCTAGTTTACTGGCCTATGGAGACATTCCAGTCTCTAAATGATCCTCTAAAATCGGACATAACACTGCTAACAGTAACAGGGCCAATTCAGAATGTATTTGTAATAGCACTAACAGAGCTTAAAACTATAGTTTGAAAACTAGATAACACTATTGGCTCAGGGTGAGCTATAAGGCGATTTTGTAAACATTTCTGCAATTAGTCAAAGTAAAAGTCCCATAAGAAATGAGCAGTGGCAATAGGAAGGAAAGAGGCAGAACAATACTTCGGGCTGACAGAAGAAAACATGGACATCGCTGAGACATTTTATTCCAGGAGTCTCCTTTTGCATTCACAACAGTCCTGTGCCTCCTTCTAACCCAATCCTAATCAGAAGCTCCTTTCCCAGTTATAGGAGCCACCACAAACACCCTAGGGTCTCAAGGTAAACAAATCGTAACCTAGTATCTAGAGGTTCTCCCTTTCTGAAGATGACAGGGGTCTCTCCTGTGGGGAGGAGTGGCTGTGTAACTCAGTTTTGACCAGTGACACGTAAGAAGAAGGATCCTAGGAAAACTCTGTTTTCTTGATGCCCACATCATCCCTCTGCTTCTTCTCGCTCTTCTCTGCCTGGAATGCAGACTTCACAGCTGAAGATCTGACAGTTACTATGCAAGCAGGAAGGTGAGAGTACTACCCTAAAGATGAAAGAATCTACCCTAGAGAAAGAATCGCTAATGATGTTATGAAATCACACTATCAATGTAGGACACTCCGCTTCTGGGTTTTTTTGTTAAATGAGAAAAGAAATTAATTCCACTCTATTTAAACCACTGTTATTTGGTTCTTCTGGTACCTATTACCAAATTCGGTCCCTAACTACTACATTTCTGTTCCCAAGTAGAGGATATAGGAAGATATGGGAGCAGCAACCTTCAATTTTAACTGCAACTACACAACACCCCAATTTGAAACTTGGAATTCACTACTACATAGTGGTTCGATTATCACTACATTTCAGGCCAATCTCAAAATCTATGATAAAATACCTGTCAGAGTCCACACTCAAAATTTTCAAAAATAACCCATTTCTACATTAGAAATAAACATTGTCACAGCAAGTTAACAGAAGTCCAAAAATCAACTGAAATAAAAGAAGGTAGTCTGTTTCATTAGATTTTTCTGTTTGGATGACATCAAAACAAGATATCGTTAACCAAGACATCCCTCTACACAATTTTTTCAAATGTATGTGCTTATACTTTTAACTATTTTCCATCATTTAGTTTAAAACCTACTATCAACATTTAGAGTATATACTTTTTACATACAAAGAAAAGTTTAAAAACACTTTTTAATTTATAAGGAGGAAAATAGGTTAGGTATATTTTAAAAGTTGGGCTTCCTAGGTGGCACAGTGGTAAAGAATCTGCATGCCAATGCAGGAGATCCAGGTTCCTGGGTCTGGAAAGATCCTTTGGAAAAGGGAATGGCAACCCGCTCCAGTATTCTCGCCTGGAGAATCCCAGGGACAGAGGAGCTTGGCGAGCTACCACTGATGGAGTTTCAACGACTGAGCACGCCCACACATGTTTTAAAAGTTAACGGGATGGAGCAGCTGTAATTGGCCAGTCATATTTAACTACACGATATGAAACACATGTCCACAGAGTGCAGTTGAGTCTCCAAGGAGGCTCGTGTTCACAGACAGACAAAGAGGATGATGCTTCTGACTTACAGTTTGTTTTTTAAAAAAGAAATAGTAGGCCCTCCAACAGAAGAGTGAAGCAGGAAATCTCAAGACAGTAACCACTGTCATATGTGATTGTGGTTGCTATGGTGAATACTTTTTCTTAAATACACAGAAAATAATCACATAAAATTGACATCAGTTTCTCCAGTTATAGCTGAATTCTGACCCTATCTTATAAAAATATTTTTTTTTATTTTAATAATAAATTTAATGGTCAAAATTACTTCATCCTTCAATTTTGGTCCCAATTCCTTCAGCTAGTTGCTATGGAACTAAAATCCCATTAGCAATAAGGAATAAAATAATCACCACTCAATTCTTTTGTGTATGTGAAATTTTAAAGAAAAAAATTATTTCCTCTCCTTCAAACATTCCCTAAAACACACACAAGGAAAGTAAATTGTATGGTATATCATACCTTTTACAAAATATGCCAGTCTACTCACAATTATTCACTAACCATTCTAATTTACACATGACTTCTAAAGAGGTGAAAAATTGTCATGAAAATTTAAATATACAATGGAATTTTTAGAATAATCTAACAAATACAATCTGTTTAATTTTTAATTTCTTAACATGAGTATGACAAAGACAGTCAAATGTAGAAATGATATAATCATCACTTTAGCATAATATCTGGAGTAGGAAATGGTAACCCACTCCAGTATTATTGCCTGGGAAATCCCATGGATAGAGAAGCCTGGCAGGCTACAGTCCACGGAGTTGCAAAGAGTTGGACGTGACTGAGAGACTAACACTTCAGTTAGCATAATATATTTCACTATCAAATGGTTTTTGAATATTACCTAATTTGTTCTAAAAATATTTTAAAATGTGGGTGTTCCACCTGATTAATGATCCAGAAAATCTGTCCTTTAATTTGTTGCCAAGAGCACAGTGAATAGGGTATATATAGAAGGGGCTTCCCAGGTGGCACTAATAGAAAAGCACCCACTTAGCAGTGCAGGAGATGTTAAGAGACGTGGGTTTGATCCCTGGGTTGGGAAGATCTCCTGGAGTGGGGCATGGCAACCCACTCCAGTATTTTTGCCTGGAGAATCTCCCCATGGACAGGGGAGCCTGGCGGACTATAGTCCAGGGGGTCACAAAGAGTGGGACATGACTGAGGTGTGTGTGTGTGTGAACCAGGATGTTAGTCCAGAAGCTACTAACATCAGCTTTTTCATAACATCAGACTCTACTATGAAACAAAGGAGGATACAGTCAACATGGAGAGGATCTAGAGGCTATTCAGAAAAAGATTAAAAGCTTAGTAAATAATACCTGCACAAAGGTTAAAGGGAATGAAATTGTACAGCCAGAAAAAGTCTGAGGATACAATTTAATAAGTATCCAAGTATACATGAAGGGATCTTGCACAGAAAATGGTGACCAGCTGTTTTCCATCTCCAATGAGGGCAAAATAAAAGAAAATAGACAAATTGAAGCCCAGGATTTTAGTTAAATGGAAGGGATGATTTCCTGTGTGAGTAGTGAGCTCTGCAACAACCACTGTTTGTCATGGAAGCCCCTTCTTCAGAGGCCTTGATAAGAATGACTGGTTGTCATTTGCAAAAGACTAATATTTATGTGTTTGTGCTCTGCGCTGATACAAGAGGCATCCTATGGTCAAAATACCTACACTAATCACATATCATTAAACATTCCACAGAGCAAAAGCACACAGAACAGACCATATGCAGTACCCACAGGTAACTCCAAAGCACT